CTTATAAGGAAAAGGAATGGAGGAGAGGCGGAGGTGGAGGTGCATGAGGCTCGCTGCCCCTCTCTGCTTGTTCTCAGGCGTCCAGGCCAGAGCGTCGGCGTTGCACTTATTGCACATCGGCGTTGCCAGTTCGCAATCTAAGGAGGCGCTAGTCCCGAAAAGAATTGGGAGGCAGAAGGGGATAGGTTGGGGGAGCAGGAGTGGCCGCACAAGAGGCAGGTGTTCAGCTGTTTTGATGGCGGCCCGCTCGCGGACTTGGCAGTTCGATCAGTGATCCTCCTCTTTCCCTTGGTTCGTCCCATGTTGCTCGTCCATTCGTCTTCGCGCCTCTTCCTCCTCCTCCTCCTACTCCTCTTCCTCCTCCTCCTCGTCCCCTCCTCGTGCTCCTCCTCCTCCTCCTGCTCCTCATCATCACCATCAACATCATCACCATCATCATCGGACTCTTCCGCATCCTGATCCTGATATTCCTCCTACCAATCTCGTCCCTCCTCCTCCTCCCCCTCCAGAGAGAAAGAGAGAGACAGATATAGATAGAAAAAAGGAGAGAGAGAGAGAGAGAGAGAAAAAAAAGAGAGAGAGAGAGAGAGAGAGAGATCGAAAGGAACGACACACACAGTACACACATTTGCATACACAGCAAACCACACACACACACTAACACCAAGGAGGGGCACGAGGGGAAGGAACCGAGGACCTCTGAGCCCTGGACGGCTCCCAGCTGAGCCGCACCGTGCCCCTGGCGATCAGCGGGTCGTCTGCGGAGCAAAGCACGCGAATGCCTGCCGAGGAGCATGAGTGCGAGTAGGAGTCCGAGTATGACCATGCGCAGAAGCCCTCGCAGCACGCAGGTCCCAATGAAGCCCGCAAACTGAAGCCCGCACACTGAAGCCCGCAAACGAAGTCTGACCCTCGAAGCCCGCACACGGATCCCCATGACGGCCTCCAGGGGCCGGTAGAACAGCACCACGATGCAGGATACGCACCGGGCGAACGTACAATCTCGATAGCGTCTCCTCCTCCTCCTCCTCCTCCTCCTCCTCCTCCTCCTCATCCTCATCCTCCTCATCCTCCTCATCCTTCTCCTTATCGTTCTGCTCCTCCTCCTCCTCCTCCGCCGAATTGGGGGTATGATACGATAGGCACCACGAACTTCACCAGTATTGGATATGCAGAAGGCCAGCATCAGGCACGTAAGACACTCTTGATGCGCAAAAGCCATGGACCCTCGGGTCCCTCGAGACGCAGGACAACAAGCATGGCCGTGAACTTCGCCATCATTGAACGCAAAAGGCCAGCACCGAACTAAAATGAATGATGATGGTGCGGACAAGCCGTCTGCTCTCGGGCTCCCAGAAGCGCAACCCACCAAGAAAACAATCTCCGAACAATCCAGACCACCACGAGGAAGGTGCACAGGAAAGTGGAGAGAAGCGACCCGACAGGACAGTAACCCGCACATTGAGCAATACAGCACCTAGGCAACACTCAAATATAAAACTGAGTGGCACCTGACTCTGAAACGGTCGCCCCACCCTTAGCCGACTGGCGCCTCAAGATAGAAGACAAGAGTCGCGGATAGCCACAAGCACGCCGCGCCCAGGCGGCGGGGCGGGACCCGAGGATGAGGGCAGGCGAGGCGGAGGATGAGAACGGAGGAGAAGCGAGGAGCTGGAGGAGAACAGAGGGGCAGCAAGGAGGAGGGTGAGGAGGAGCTAAGAGGGGAAGGAGCCAGGAGGAGGAGGAGCGAGTAGCGAGTAGCGAGAAGCGAGGGGCGAGGGGCGAGGAGCGAGGAGGAGAAGGAGGAGCGAAGAGGAGAAGTCAGGAGAAGAAGCCAGGAGGAGGAAGCGTGAGGTGGAGGTCTCTACTGCAGCATCAGGTCCCCTCCCCCCCCCTCCCCCCCCCTCCGACAGCGGTGGAAAAGACGCTGCTGCGGCGTTAGCATCAGATGAGGGCGAGGCGGTGCCCTGTGGTGCGGCAGCATCAGCAGAAGGAACTGGACGCAAATCTCCGACGCCTCGATTTTCTGGATTTCTCGTCCCGAGTCGGATGCTGACGGCCCCAGGAGCTGAAAAACGACGAAACGCCTCCTGCGCGACGTTGCTTGAGGCGGTGGACGTCTGGGGAGGATTTCAGCAGCTTCTGGTCTGGGGGTCTCCTGAGGTCTCCCGAAGTCTCTGGTGACCTCTAGAGATCTGCACTCTGCTGCTTGCTGTCGGAGGCCTCTTAAGGGAGGAAGGAGGAGGGAGGGAGGGAGAGAGGGAGGGGAGGGGAGGGGAGGGGAGGGGAGGGAGGGAGGAGAAGGATATCCCTAGTACCTGCATCTCTCTGCGGTATTCGCACTCCGGCCTCGGAGGTGGGGGTCTGGGCCCCGACCCCTGGCCTGTGCCATCGCTTCTTGAAGCGAAGACGCTCCTCTTCCTCCTCCTCCTCCTCCTCCTCCTGCCTCCTCCTCCTCCTCCTCCTGCCTCCTCCTCCTCCTCCTTCGCCTCCTCCTCCTCCTCCTCCTCCTCCTCCTCCTCCTCCTCCCCCTCCTCCTCCAACTCCTCCTCCTCCTGCTTCCTCCTCCTCCTCCTCCATTCCTTCTCCTAAGGAATAACTTCTCCCTGTCGCATCCCGAGGCTAGTTTTTGGGGCGGGACGGGTGTTTCGCCTGAGACTTCCTCAATACTTATGGCCCTGAAGCTCCAAAATTAGCAAAACACCTTCACAGTACCGTTTTCAACATGTGGCTCTCGCCTTGGCGCCGCGCACATTTGTTCTAAGCATTGCAAGAGTTTAGCATATTGAAAGCGAATGGTTTTCAAAATGTGGCTCTCGCCTTAGCTCCGCGTACAGTCGCTGTACAAATCAGCAAAGAGTTTCACGGATTGAGGGCGGTTGCTTTTCAACATGTGGTTCCCGCCTCAGCGCCGCGCAAATATGCTTTTAACTTTGTAAGAGCTTTACGGATTGAGGGCTGGTGGTTTTCAAAATGTGGCTCTCGCCTTAGCGCCGCGTTTATTCGCTTCACAAACCTGCAAGAGCTTCACGGATTGAGGGCGGTTCTTTTTCAAAATGTGGCTATCTCCTTAGCGCCGCGCGCATTCGTTTATAAGATTTGCCAAACAGTTTCGGGGGGGGCCAGGATCAGCGCACCAGAAATGGTGTTTAGGGGAGACTTAGGATTATGAGGGTGCAGCAGTTACGTTGGTTCGCGGTGTTGAAGTCCCAGGAATGGCGTTCTGGCGCGACTCACGATCGTCAAAACACAACAGTCAGGTTGATCCGTGGCGTTGCAATCCCGAGAACAATGTTTTGGCATGCTTCAGAGGCTTCAAACGGTTGTTTTCCGACGAGGCACTTCCCTCAGTGGAATTGAGACGTTGTAAGGGACCTAACATCGTTGATGACTCTTGGGTTTACACTGATCCTTCCTCCTGCTCCTCCTCGCCTCCTCCTCCTCCTCATCCTCCTCCTCCTGTTTACTCCTGCCTCCTGCCTCCTGCTCCTGCTCCTGCTCCTGCTCCTCCTCCTCCTCCTTCTTTTCCTCCTCCTCCTCCTCCTCCTCCTCCTCCTCCTCCAGGATGGGGGGCTCCAAAATGGAGGCAGGGCGAAGGAGGTCGGGGGATCGCGCCGCATCTCAGATGCATCGGCGACGGTGGGAATGAGAAGAACAGAACCAGATCGCGCCGTCTCGCCGATGCTTCGGTGATATGGCGCGATTATCCGTCCGACCCTATTTAGTCTGGCCCCAGCTGGGAAACCCAGCCACGTACGTGAGTATGCCCCCCAATTTGCGAAGCCAGCCTCATGTCCTGGAGTCTCGCGCAACGCGTTCCCTCGAAACCCTTATAAGCTCATGCGCGCGTAAGTACGTACTCTTTTCGCTCCTGACCGGGTCGCTCCCATGGTATGCCCAACAGAAGGTACAGTGCGACCAGATAAGAATGATGCGCGGTAAGGATGCAAGGCCCTTGGACGCCCAAAGTGAAGCCGAGGCTGGAAGCCCAGAGCCCATGGCTGAGGGCCAGGATAAGCGGAGAGGCAAGGACGGTGTACGTATTTGTGTGTTGGGCCATAACGCGCGTTCTGACCCCCCCATCCACCCCCCCAACCCCTTTAATGTGACGCGCCTCCCATGCCCCCCCCGAGCGTCCCCAGCGTTGCCGCAGTGCGTCTGGCACCGCAGTCTGTTGTGTTGTGCCGGACCCTCACGGCCTGGTGGGGAGGGGCGGGGGGCGTTACATTATGCCCCCCCCCTCCACTCCCCGTCCCCCCCCTCTCTACAACTACACAAAAATACGATCCTCTCTTCCCTGATGACGTCCGCAAGATGTCCGGCCCCCCTCTGCGTACTGCTTGTTTACACACAGGATTCCCGGGATATTGGTTTTCGCTTGGTTTTTTGTTCAAAATGTTGCTCCCGCTGAAGCGCTGGCCCCATTTCTGCGCCTCTGGTTTCCGAATCGTGCTCCCGCTGCAGCGCGGACGATTTCGGTCCTTCCAACTAGGCTCCAAAATCTAGAAAATGGCCCTCCGAAAAAACCAGCGGAAGTGTTTACACATTCGGTGCCGATTCGTTGATTTTTGGGGCCGCAGAAGCCCCCCCACTTTGGGGAGTCGTCGCTTTCAGGAAGTATCAAGCGGGAGTCCCGTTTCTGTTTTGAGAAGGCGGTGTTGAAAGCAGAGCCAGCGGGTGCTCTCCATCAGCCCCGCCTTGTGTGGAGCTTTTCGGGGAGCCCAAGGAGCTAGGCATGGAGCAACGACTCCAGACCGGCCCAGACCTCTCGAAGACGATCCACTTACCCTCCAAGGAACCCAGCGCCATGCCATGACATGCTGTGCGGTGCTGTGTTGTGCGCAGCTGTGCGATGTCATGCTTTGCATTGCAGTGCTGTGTGATGCAATGCTTCACTGCGCAATGCCACGCCATGCTATGGCATGCTACACTCTGCCGTGCTCTTCTACGCCATGCCATGCCGTGTTCTACCATGCATCGCGTACCCTCTCGCGATCATTGCCCTGCTCGACATCCGACTGTGCGAATAGAGAGGATATCTACGCCATGGTAAGGGATGGGAGGGGTAGGACGTCAGATATGATGCGAGCACACCTAGCTTGACCCCCCCCCTCCCCACCACCTCCCCCCCCCTCCCCGTCCCCCCCCCCTCCAACCTCCCCGTGACGCCCGCTATCGCCGCGAATCGAAACATGCCCTCAAGCCACTCCTCCTTGCGGTGCGGCCTCACTGCAGGCCAACGCTGCCCCGCAGGCCACCCCCTCCCCCTCCGCCTGCGTCGCCCCTCCGGCAGGGCGGGGCCAGCGCGGTGGACAGGTTTGCCGTGGGCTCGGACCACGGGGACGACTCCTCGCGATCATTGTCGTCGGCGTCTTCGACGTCGTCGTCGGCGTCGTCGGCGGCGGCGTCGGCGTCGTCGTCATCGTCGGCGTCTTCGGTGTTGGTGTCTTCGGCGTCGTCGTTGCCGTCGACGCCGTTGTCCTCGTCGTCGTCGTCGTCGCCGCCGCCGCCGTCGTCGTCGTCGTCGTCGTCGTCGTCGTCGTCGGCGTTGTCGGCGTCGTCGGCGTCGTCGGCGACCGCGTCGTCGTCGTCGTCGCGGTCGGCGTCGTCATCGCCGTCGTCGTCCACCTCTTTCCCGGGAAAGAGGACAAGGAGGAGGGAGGAGGAGGATAAAAGAGGAGGAGGAGGCAGGAGGAGGAGGAGGAGGGAGGAGGGAGGAGGAGGAGGAGGGAGGAGGAGGAGGAGGAGGAGGAGGAGGGAGGAGGGAGGAGGAGAAGGGAGGAGGAAATGGGTCAGGGGGGGGGGCAGGGGGAGGGGGACCCACGCGTGGCCCTCTGCGATGCCGGTGGCCAGTGTGCGCAAAGTTTCGCCCCCGACCATCGAGGATCGAGGAGCCCTTCGGGGGTCCTTGCACGTCTTTGGAATGCTCTTCGGGCGCTTGGGCCCTCGCTCTCGTGCCCCTCTGCGCGGAGGCAGCACTGACCAGGCCAGGGGGCGGGAAGGCAGAAGCCCCAAAACATATAAGCAAACCTCAGCCTCCTTCTCCTCCAACTCCACGCCCTCCTCCTCGTTGGTGAACGTTTTCGTATTCGGCGTTTCGGCATTGGGCGAAGGCAGGGGGGAGAGGGTGGCGGTCCGGCTCCGGACCTCTGCATACTGCGACTGTTTGCAGCAGTGCGCCCTGTGGGGAGACTCCACCGGCTCGAAACAGGCGCAGGAGAACAGCCAAGATCTACTCCCATGGGTGGGGAGGGGGGTGCCGAGGGCCCGCGCAGATCGGAAAAATAATGAATAAGAAACCAATCACTTGCCCGTTTTTGTTGGCCCGCAGGGGGCAAACCTTAACTATAGTTGCTCTCTTCTCCTGCCCCACATAAACTTCTGATGCTTGCCAACCTCCGCAAAACATCTCAGCTAGACGGCTGCACGTGCATGTCGGCGCGTGCAGAACACAGCATGCCAAGCCTCGTCGCGCACTGCTCGGCGTGGCGCTGGAAACAGGCCACGCCGGGGTCCTCGGGGTCAGCTTCGAGTGGAGCTGGGCGAGGGCCTTTACATGCCTGCGTCGTGTACCCCTCCAAACAACACATACACACTCTCTCTCACACACGCACACACACACACACTTACGTTTCGGGCGCACGCGGGCGGAACGACGAGCCAGTCGGCCGTTCAGAGTTGCACGCCTGGCTCAGCGCACGATCGCTGGGCTAAGTGAGGCACCCAAAAATGCCCTGGGAACCACGGGTTAAAATGTGGTGAGTCGCCAGCCCCTCACGGGGCAGTGGCAGGGAGCAGCGGGCACTGGCGCCGAGCGGGAGGCGACAGACGGCGGCAGGGCAGCGGGCGGCGGCGCCCGACGGGCGCAGCCAGGGCGGGAGGGCAGCGAGCAGCGGGGAGGCGCCGGTCGAGGCCGGCGCCAGCGACCGACCGTCGTGAGGCGAAGCAGCGGCCAAGACTGAGTCTCCAGGGCCCGGTGCCCGGCGGGGCGTCTGCGGCTGAGGGGTGTCAACCCGTATCGGAAGGATGCGCGATAAGGATGCAAGGGCCGTGGATGCCAATGCCGAAGCTTCTCGAGCGGGGCGCGGCCACCGAAAGTGGCCAAGGGTGGGCCGAGGAGGCACGGATGCAAGGGCACCCTTGGGGAGGTGGCCCATCCTTCCTATGCGGGTCCACTGTACGACGCGGAGCCGTCCCACGGGGCGAGCTCACTGCGAGAGCCAGCGGCATGCAGCAGACGGGACGAGGCGCGAGGCGGACCGGCGGGAAAAAGCGCCAGGGCAGGCTGCCGCGCGGCGGATGGCGGCGGCCCGTCGACGGTCTGGCAGGGCCGACGAGGGCACACGCACACACACACACGCACACACGCACACACACAGCGCACACACACACGCGCGCACACAGACACACGCGCGCACACAGACACACAGGCGCACGCACAAACACGCAAACACTCTTTGGCGTCGCGGCCACGCGCGCAGCGGCGCGGCGTAGGAAGTCGACGCGCACAAACAAACAAACACACACACACACACTCTCTCTCTAGAACACGCACGCACGCACGCACGCACACACAAACACACACAAACACACACAACACACACATTCGAATAGATTTGAAAGATGCCTGGCGGGTTAAGGGGCGGCTGGTCCCTCAGGCGCCAACGCGGCCCCATGGCGGCCCCATCAGGGCTCCCAAGAAGCCCACGATGGCCAAACAACTCATCCACGCGGCCCCACAACGGCCCCAGAGGCCCCAAAAATCGCTCACAGCCCCCGAAGGGGACCCCTGACGGCCAAAGAAGGTTGCAAAACAAATGCCTGGTGCCCGAAAGCGCCTCCAAGGAGCTCCAAGGGACCCCCACGGGGTCCCCATCAAGCAATAATCGACAGATTGCCATAGAAAAGCTGACATCTTCAGCAGATTACCACCCCCTGGAATAAAACGTGGTGATCGGCACTACGGCAGGCAACAACCCCTGAGTCTTAGCCCATCGAGGAAAAAAAAACCAAGCTTCGACCTTCGATCGATCCCAAGTAACTCCCAGACAGAGTCGTGACCCGAACAGAGGAACGGCGACGCAGGGGTGGTCGAGACGCGCGTTTGCCAGGACAGCCCAAACGTAACCGCCACTCTTTGGCAACCACCCCCTGGATTAAAAAGTGGTAATCGGCACTATGGCAGGGAACAACCTCTGCGCTTTCGCCAATCGGAAAAAGAAACTCAAGCTCCGACCTTCGATCGATCCCCAGTAACTCCCAGACAGAGTCCTGACCCGAACGGAGGAACGGCGACGCAGGGGTGGACGAGACGCGCGGTTGTCAGGACAGCCCAAACGAAATCACCACCCTTTGGCGGTGTGAAAAGCGGTCGGAAAATACCCTGCGAGGAATTCTCAGGCGATACCGCCGCTCTCAAGCGGCATGAAGGTGGATCTGTTGTTTTGGTCTGCGGAAGCCCCACGCAAAATTGCCACTTTCAGATGCCGCGGTAAATTTTCAGATCGCCCTGGAAGGCGATCTGCTTTGTTTGCGGAAGTCTCTGGCGGAATCACATTTTCAGACGCTGGCCCCATGTGGCCGCTATAATACAAAAAAGGGTGAGAGATGCATCTGGAATTCCCGACTCGGCCCCGGATTCAACATTGTCCCGGGGCCCCGTGGCCTAACGGGAGGCCAACCGTGTCTTCCTCGATCCCCACGGTGTCCACTTTTTAATCCAGCGGGTTCACCGCCGCCAGCGCGATGAATCACGTCTCTTTTACATGTTTGTCCACGCCCCCCACCAGCGCACGCATCGGAACGCTGGAGACTGCCCGCACCGAGCACTTGTTGTAATGACCGCCGCCAGCGCACTGAATCACGTCTCTTTTATATGTTTTGTCCACGCTCCACACTAGCGCACGCATTGGAACGCTGGAGACTGCCCACGCCGAGCGTTTTTGTTTAATGACCGCCGCCAGCGCGCTGAATCACGTCTATTTTGTATGTTTTGTCCACGCTCCCCACCAGCGCATGCATCGGAACGCTGGAGACTAAGCCACACCGAGCGTTTTCGTAATGACCGCCGCCAGGGCGCTGAATCACGTCTCTTTTACATGGTTTGTCCACGCTCCACACCAGCGCACGCATCGGACCGCTGGAGACTAAGCTACACCGAACGTTTTTGTAATGACCGCCGCCAGGGCGCTGAATCACGTCTCTTGTACATGTTTTGTCCACGCTCCACACCAGCGCACGCATCGGAACGCTGGAGACTGCCCACACCGAGCGTTTTTTTGTAATGACCGCCGCCAGCGCGCTGAATCACGTCTCTTTTGCATGTTTTGCCCACGCTCCACACTACCGCACGCATCGGAACGCTGGAGACTGCCCACACCGAGCGTTTTTTTTGTAACCACCCCCTGGATTAAAGTGTGGTGCTCGGCTCTACGGCAAGGAACAACCCGTGGGTCTTCGCCAATCGGAAAAAGAAACTGAAGCCCCGACCTTCGATCGATCCCAAGTAACTCCCAGACAGAGTCGCGACCCGAACGGAGGAACGGCGACGCAGGGGTGGACGAGACGCGCGGTTGTCAGGACAGCCCAAACGAAATCACCACTCGTTGGCGGTGTGAAAAGCGGTCGGAAAATACTCTGCGAGGAATTCTCAGGCGATATCGCAGCTCCCAAGCAGCATGAAGATGGATCTGATTGTTTTGTCTGCGGAAGTCCCACGCAACGTCGCCACTTTCGGATGCCGCGGCAAATTTTCAGAGCACCCGGTTTGGCGGAAGTCTCAAGCGGAATCGCATTTCAGACGCTGACCCCATTTGGCCGTTATAGTATTAAAAAGGGTGAGAGACGCATCTGGAATTCCCGACTCGGCCTCGAATCCAACATTGTCCCGGGGCCCCATGGCCTAACGGGAGGCCAACCGTGTCTTCCTCAATCCCCACGGTCTCCACTTTTAATCCAGCGGGTTGTAGTTGTTCCTATTTCTTCGAAGCGCCGACGACGTCCCCAGGGGCCTCCAAGATCGCCCCAAGATAGTTCCAGATGGCCCCCGAATGGCCCAAGAGGCGCCCAAGACGGCACAAAAGAGGCCCAAGACAACCAAAGACGGCCCCAAGGCGGCCCAAGAGGCGCCCAAGATGGCCCAAAACGGCCCACAGGCAGTCCAAGAGGCGCCCTACACGGCCCAGGAGGGCCCCGAGAGGCCACGAAGCCGAAAAGGCGCCCGAGTGGTTCCAAGGCGGCCAACGACAGGCTTCAAAAACTGTTTCCAAAAGCGGGGGGCGGACGCGAGGCGAGAGGCAACTCGCGGCTGCAAGCGGGCAGTTTTTGCCGCTCTGGTCACCCTGGACACCTGTTTTCTGGGCGACGACGACGACGACGACGACGACGACGACGACAACGCATACTCGCTCCGCGGGGTCGGCGGCGAGTAAGAGAGATGTTTTGCAACATGTGCAACGACATCTGGGTTCGAAGCCTCGCGTCTTCGGCATCCCAAATCCGTTTGCCGCGACGCCGTTCCGACGCCTCCGACGCGGCCGGACACGGCGCCGCGTTTGCCCCTGCCCGCCCCCACGCCCGCCGCGATCCCGGCGCGAATCGTCCAACGCTGGTCCCGCTTGGGCTCTGGACTTTCCTGCTTTTGCGAAGCTCGAACACCTCGGCCCCCGCATCAGTGCACTGGGCGCTCTCACGGGGGGGACATGTCAAAGGAACTGCGGCAGTAGCCGACAGCCTTACAAAATCCAGCGCGCGCCACCACACCTCGATCCTCTCAACTCTGTGGATCTACCCCACCGGTCCACACTAATGTGTGCACCTCGGCCCAACGGGCACGGATCGATCCAGCCCGAGGTCCCTCGGGTCCTTTGGGAGCTCTGGTCGGGAGTGGTTGCTCACGGCTTTCCTGAATGCGTCGGACAGGCAGCCACATGTGAACCCAGCCCATCGATTTAGCCCGAGCTCACCAGCTGGGGTTCACTTTGCACGTGCTCGCTCTCAAAAACATAGACCCTCTTCCGGTGAGTCCCTACTGTACAAAACGATGTGCAGCGGGGGTAGGGTACGCATGCGGCTGCCTGTCGCATCTCAGCGTGGTTCGACCTCTGGCCTGGAGGTTGTCTTCCTCAATTCTGAAGGTGTCCCTCCTGTCTTCTGGATGGCTTGGACATGCGTGCAAGCCTGGAAGGAGGAGAGGAGCCCATTCTCTCCCTCCCTTCGCCCCTCCCTGCCCCGGACAACGGCTCGAGATGTTCCCGTCCGCGGCGAGGCAAAGGCGGTCCGCCCCAGCGCGTTGCAATTCGGGGCAACCGAGTGGCTAATTGGCAGGCGTGCAGGAGAGGGAAAAGGACGAGGGCGGCCGCGCAGCGGGAGGGGCGGAGGAGGAGGAGGAGGAGGAGGAGGAGGAAGAGGAGGAGGAGGAGGAGGAGGAAGAGGAGGAGGAGGAGGACGAGAAGGGGGAGGGGGAGGGAAGAGCACTCAGACGTGGAAGAAATCCGCGTCGAGCGGGCTGGGGAGACCAGCCGTGGCAGCGGCGACCGTGGACAACGGCTCGAGACAGGCAAGCCTGTGATTCGGCAGTCTGAGGCTCGGGGGAGGGCCCGTGGAGACAAGGGCGGCTCCCCCGCCTGGCACACTGTTCGAGTAGAGGATCGACCATCGAATTGGTTTGCCCCAAGTTCATTTTCTCGTCGAACCCGTGGAAGAACTACGTAGAATAGTCCGCGCATCTACGAAGCACTGTCAGGATGTTTCGTCGAGATCGACGGAAAATCAATTTGGTGGTACATCGATTCTGTAGCCGATCCCCTACTCGCGCTGTCCCCAGACCCCCTCCCGAGGTCCATCCTGACCCGTCGATCGAGGCGGATCCAGCCCTGTCGACTGCAAACCTCCAGGAAGGTAACAAACCCCTCCCGAGGTCCATACTGACCCGTCTACGAGGCGGATCCAGCCCTGTCGACTACGAGCCTCAACTGAGAAAAGCGCTGGGGGGAGGGCCGTCGTCGTCTCCAATGGCCCTCCTCGTAGAGGCTCAGCGCGGATGGGCGCCGATGTCGAGAATAGGAGGCGGCGGTAACGCGTTCGAATTGCACGGAACAGGCCCAAGAAGGGCAGGCACGTACGCAGGAATTTGAAGGAGAGGCGCCCTCCGACGGGGAGGGCGGGGAAGGAGGAGCGCACTTTTCTTTTCGCGGCCAAGCGTTAGGGGGGGGACGGGAGGGGGCATAACGTAGCGCCCCCCTCCCCAGGCTGTGGTGACGGACGCAGTGCGGCAGTGACGAGGCCGCACTGAGGCGGGGGGGAGCGTTACGTCATGGGGGGGAGAGGAGGGGCAAGGGAGGAGGGTAGGGGGCATCACGCGCGTCACGGCCCAGAGAGTAAACAAAAAAAACGCTCTCAAGATTACAGGGCGCCCTCCGACGGGGAGGGCGGTGAAGGAGGAAGAATGAGGAGGGCAAAGCCGGCTGCCCATGCTGGTGAACGTTTTCTTATTCGGCGTTTCGACACTGGGTCGAAGGGAGGGGAAGGGGGGGATCTGGCTCCAGACCTCTGCTTAATGCGACTGTCTGCAGCAGTGAGTCCTCTGGGAGGTGACTCCACCTGCTCGAAACAGGCGCCAAAGGGGGGGGGTGCGACGGCCCGCGCCGATCCCAGAGATCCGATGTCGTGATTTATTCAATACGGGGTCCCCAGAAGTCTCCACCCATTCGCCAGGACCGGTTTTTTTATCCTGAGTCGTTGTGTTGATGGTCCCGGGGCCCGGCGAGGGTCCCTAGAGGGCGAAAGTTGCGAAAAAACTCCACCTTGATGTTTTGAATAATACGTTGGATCTCGGGGGGAGATACGACGGCCCGCGCCGATCGGCAAGCCAATGAATAAGAAAACGATCACCTGGCCGGCAGCCTGCTTTCTCTTTCTTTTTGGGGGGCAGGGGCCGCCTTGGCAAGAGCGGAGGGCGGCAGCCTCAGGGCAGCAGGCCCCTCGGCGCCGTGGTGCTCAGCGCCTCGTAGCGCCCCCCGGGGCACCGGACATCCTGGGGGGGACGAAACGATTGACCAAAAAAGGAGCCCTGACCCTTTGGGATCGAGGGAACTATAGTTCAGGAGGGCCAGGAACATTAGGGATAGGGGGTCTTTCTCTGCAGGTGTATCGAAGCAAACCGCCCAGAACTATTGTCCCTAATGCGAAGACGGGGACCTCAGTGAGGCTACGTCTTCATCGTGTTATGAGGGTTAGGCGTCCTTTTATCCTCAGTGGCGAAACACACCGTTACAGCTGCCAAGACGCCACCCGTGAATCCTACCCTGGGCCTGCAGGTCAGACTTCTGAAACACGGGCGGGGCTCAGAACCTGAAGGATGCCTGCAGACACTTGGACCCTGGCGGGGGTGTCCGACCCTGAGATCCGACGGCGCGAAAAATTGCAACATCGCAAAAAATCACGACTGGACCCCCAGACCCCACCTTCCTGCGCCATTTGCCGAACCGAATCGATCTCTGAGGATCCCGGGGGCCCGAGGTGGAGCGAGCGCGCCCAGCTCTGAAGCATCGAGCCGCCAGGATCTCGGGGGAGCTCCCCCCCGTCGAGGAGACCCGCAGGGGCAGGGCTCACCAGTGGGCACGGAGCTGCTCCCCGGACCTCTCCAGGGGCGCGCTCCGGAGCTTCGGGGCGAGCGCAGCCGTGGCGGACGTGGCGCGGGCAGCGGCATCGGCGCAGGAGGAGGGGGAGGCAGGAGGAGGAGGAGGAGTTTCCCTCCTCCGACGTCCGCGTTGGAGGCGCCCCGAAGCCCGCCCAGCTCCGCGCGCAGCTTCCACCAGCGGTCGGCGAGCGCCCCGCAGAGCCAGTGGTTCTGGCGCGCGCAGCCCCACGGCTTGGGACAGCTGCCCGTGAAGTGGATCGACTTGACCTGGGGCGCTCGAGGGCCACCGCTGGCACTCGGCGCCCCCCTCTTGGAGGCGCGCGTCCAAACCGAACGTATCATGGCACAAGCGTGTTGGACGATGTTGCCCCCATCGTACTTGAGGACGCCATCCCATGAAGAGTTTCGAGCACCCGGGGAAGTATCGAAAAGGTGTCGAACGAGTACCGCCTCCCAGGGCTCGACACGTGAAAGCCTTCAGGTTTCGGTACTTGCTTGGTGCTCGAATTTTCTTATGGTGATCAAGGCTAAAAGCAGGTTGGAACATCATACACATTGGATAACACCGCTGCCCAGACGTTATGGCCAGAAAGCGCCCGCCGCCGAGCATATATTCTAGTTGTTGTTTTGTTTTGTCTGTTTTTCCACCACAACCAGCTCAGCGCAGCCTCTGGTAACCGACGGTGGATCGCTCAAACGTGGCCCTGGGGCGACATGTTTCCGAGAGGAGCGGCGAACGCCGAACCTCTTATGCACACGAATGTACCAGTCAGAATGATTTTTCCGTCGAAATGTTTCTGAGCGCGCGCGCCACTCCTGCGGATCTGACACACAGATTACAGGCGTGCTTGGGCGAGGCCGATGGCCCCGGCAAGGACGGCGCCGTGGTCGGCGGGGTCCAGCTCGTCGATGAGCCGCTTCGTCACCAGCACGTCGTATACCGACCTGGGGGGGAGCCGGTGGCTTTCATCCGCCAGCCTGGGAGGAGGACGGGTCGCCAAAAAAAACACGGAAAGCTCTGACGGCTTTCGACCCCTGAGCCCTGGCTGCCCCTGGGACTGTGAACAAAAACAAACTCAGGATGAAAAAACGGCCCCCGGGAATGTGCCCAGACCTCTCGGGAGCCACATTGCGATACAAGGAGGAGAAGAGGGAGAAGAGATTTGATGAGGGTGGGGGGGAGGGAAGGAGGGGAAGAAATGGGGCGACCTCCGTCACACGTGCCCTGCGATCCGGGGTAGCACACACACACACACACACACACATGCAACACCATCAACGTCACGACCTGGGGGCCTCAGACCGCATCCTTCCCAGACATCCAGCTGCTCCAATTTTTTCGGTGCGTGGGCCCCGGAGGT